GATAGTTTTACTTCTGCTCCCCAGGTGGTGTACTTAGGTATTAACTTTTGACAACTCACCTACACAGCACATGATTCATATCTTTTGTATACATGTACATGGTTTCAGGTTCACTCCCTCCTAAACTAGATGACTCAACACATGGAGGAATTTAAAAGTTCCCAGCTGATAATATTGTTACTGTTATATATCACAATGGAAGCTTATTTAGTGAGCACATACCCACTCTTGTGCTGGATTGCTTATATTTTTATCAACTAAAAACACATGGCTCAGTGTAAGAAAAAACCATACTCTTCAGGTTTGGGGTTTAAGCCAAACTGCCTCATACTCTGTTTTCTTTGGTGTGGCTGTTCTACCTCAAGCTTGGTTCACCTGTGGACAGTGACATTACACACAGTATCTTCACTATGGAACAGTGAGTCTACTCTTTCTGTTAACTGTTTGTAAAAACTACTGCTATATACTTTCAACTGCAAGGTACATGTGTAGATAAGTGTTAATTGTAAACATAGGATCACTACATAATAAAGTGGGCTGTATGTTTATAGTTACAGTGTACAATTTACCTGTATTTATTAAATAAATTAATACAGTTTGTATGTATGTAATACATCATCTGCTTACACTGTAGAACTTACCTGTATTAACACTAGATTTTCAAACATTAATACTGGTTCTGTGTGTTACAGATTCTACTGTCACTGTGTAGAACTAATATGTATTAACACTAAATTATCAAACATTAATACTGGTTCTGTGTGTTACATATTCTACTGTCACTGTGTAGAACTTATATGTATTAACACTAGATTATCAAACATTAATACTGGTTCTGTGTGTTACGTAGAACTTACATGTATTAACACTAGGTTATCAAACATTAATACCAGTTTTGTGTAATACATACAACAATGTCATTGTGTAGAATTTTCCTGTATTGAGCTAGCACTAGATTATCAAACATTAATACTGGTTCTGTATCATACATGTGTAATGTTTTTTACTGGCTATCCAGTATCTCAGCTTAGTTTCTAGGTTCATGTTCCAGAGACCTTTACTCTATATAACAGAGACTATTAATAACTGGCTTGGTTCCTGTACAATAGGATATGGGTGCCTGGGTTCATTCATTAAATAACACACTCTTTCAGACTTGAGTCACTGCTACTGTTGTGTGTCCAGTCAGTAGGTTGATACCCTGCATCACAGCAATTAAAAAGGCCAAGATGTTCTAATAATTCTTAATTATTTACCAAGTTTCTAATTGAAGCATTATTGAGATGAAAAGTGTCATAACATAATTTTAGTATATTATGAGGTGTAACTCATAACTGTTATTTTTCAGTTTATACAAGACAAGTACATTCTGAATGAAAAAAAGAAAATTCCTAATTAAACCAATGAAAGAGACAGACCATGAATATAGTAAACATGGAAATCACCAGTGTTTTTTTGCAGACATAAAAATAATGTTATTTTTTTTCTCAAGTAAAATTTGTGATACTGCATTATGATTTTTTTTTTGGTACGCATCACAAAAGTCATGAAAAATACATGAACCAAACTACTCTTTAATGTAGGTGATATCACAAAATCTACTCCTTGCACGAATTGTGATATCATCTACATAAAAATACATGAACCAAACTACTCTTTAGAATACTTATGTGACATCATGTACAGAAAGACATGAATCAATCAACTCCTTACATGACGTCATAAAAATCATATAAAGACCAGATTGATTCATGTCTTTTTCTGTACATGGTGTCACAAAAGTCATGTAAGAGTAGATTGGTTCTTGTCTTTCTGTACATGGTGTTGCAGAAGTCATGTAAAGAGCAGATTGATTCATGTCTTTTTCTGTACATGGTGTCACAAAAGTCATGTAAGAGTAGATTGGTTCTTGTCTTTCTGTACATGGTGTTACAGAAGTCAGGTAAAGAATAGATTGGTCCATGTCTTTTTCTGTACATGTGTCACAAAAGTCATGTAAAGAGTAGATTGGTTCCTGTCTTTCAATATATAGTGTCACAAAAGCTATGTAAATAGTAGACTGGTTCATGTTTCCTTCTGTAGACAATATCACAAAAGCCATGTAAAAAGTAGACTGGTTCATGTTTTCTTCTGTAGATAATATCACAAAAGTCATGTAAAAATTGATTGTTTAAATTCTCTGTAATTTATATCATTAGTTGTAGGATGTTTAGTTTTCTTCTGTAAATTGTGTCATAAAAGTTAAAGGACTATATTTTTTCTCTACGTGGAGTCATGAAAATCAAAGGTTTATTAATATTTCTTTATAGGTGATGTCAAAAAATTCATAGGTTAGTTCTCTTCTTTTTCAGCAAATGTATCAAAAGAATAGGTAGGTTAATTTTCTTCTGTGGCTGACATCAAAGAAGTTACCTAAAGAATTGGTTGACTAGTAGTTTTTCATGGTGTAATTTTAAATTGCAATAAGTCTGATCTATATATGTTAAAGCCTAACTTCAAGGGTTCAGAATTAATGACTTAATTCTGTATAATCATTATAGGATTTACTCAGATTACCTTCCTCAATATAACCTTTATTTTCACATCTATTAGTTATTATTAGTATGTTAGAATCTGTAAAGAACCATCAGTTATTTTAATCCCCTCTATATAGTTTGAACAAAAGTTCTTAATATGAAAAACAATGAATATACTAGTAGAAAAAAACTGTAAACACTAGTGATGTACAAAAACTGGTACAAGACTGTTAAACCATAAAACATTATTTTACTCATATTTTTACTCATTTTACTCATGTAATTTGACATATTGATGGATATGCACATACTTAGAAAGGTTACATGTAAATTTGAACATCAACAGTCAGGTCATCTAATTAAGCAGATAGGTCATGTGTAGAGCATTAAATGAACAACCAGGTCATTTAAACAATTAGACAGATGAACATACACAAATATGTTTAAATAGGTCACATGTAAAGTATAACATGCACAGCCAGGCCATTTAAACATCTAGACAGATGGACCCACAAACATTCAAATGTCTCAAAAAATCACATGTAAAGTTGGACATAACAGCTAGATGATTTAAATATCTAGACAGATAGACCCACAAACATTCAAACAAGTTGCATGTAAAGTTGGACATGAACAACCAGACCATCTAGACGGATAAACCACAAATGTACAAACAGGTCACATGTAAAGTTGGACATGAACAGCCAGGCCATTCAAACATCTAGTCAGATGGACCCTCAAACATCTAAACAAGTCACGTGTAAAGTTAGACATGAACATTAGGTAATCCAAAGAGACAAAATGACATACATGTTTAACCGTAAGTGAGTAGGCAGATAAAACATTTTTCAACATCATGTTTGAAGTTGTTCATGAATGTTATCTTAGTAAGTGAATAGATTATTATAAAAGTCAGATCATGTTCATAATTAGAGTAACAGAGACATTCTGGCATATTGCATATGAAGATGACTGTTTTATTGTAATTTTAGTATAAAGCTACACAATGAACTATCTGCACTCTGTCCACTGTGCAGAATTGAACCCTAATTTTAGCAATGTAAGTCTATAAGCTTACTGATGACCCACCAATGGACAGGAAAATTAACCCAAACAGTGAGATCATGCTAACAAGTAGATTAAAAACACATTGAGACATTATGACCTATATCAAGATGAACAGTTAAGTCATGTTAACAAGGAGGTTAAAAACACATTGAGACATTTTGACCTATATCAAGATGAACAGTCAAGTCATGTTAACAAACACATTCAGTCATTTTGACCTATATTAAGATAAACAGTTAGATCATGTTAACAAGTACATTAACAAATACATCGAGACATTTTGACCTATATCAAGATGTACAGACAGATCATGTTAACGAGTAGATTAACAAACATATTCAGTCATTTTGACCTATATCAAGATAATCTGTCAGATCATGTTAACAATTAGATTGACAAATATATTCATACATTTTGATCTTTATCAAGATGTACAATCAGGTCATGTTAATAAGTAGACTGTCCTTTGTTCACAGGTAAGGTTCAAAGTATGCAAGTCATGACTTTTTAGAGTGCCATTCGACATGGCATTTGTGTTTGATGTCAGAGTTATCAACTGTTAATTTTATCCTACAATGCTGATTTAGTAAATACCAGATAAATATACAAGGATACTGAAAATAAATTTATATATGCATTTCCAAGGCTTGAGGTTATGCAAATGATATATACAAACTGTATGATGGAAAAAGATGTTATTTTCTTCACATGAATGTCACCTTGTACTCCAATTTTTCAGATTCTGAGTCAAACTGATTTCATCAACTCAGACATATCCTTAGTAAAAATACTTTTGTAACCAAATGGATTTTTTGTTTACAAAGGACTTGGACATTTTCCTAAAAACTTGCCAAATTCATTTATGTAATTGTAGTAAATTGGGAATTATAGTCAACTTTGAAGATGAAAAGTAGATGTTGTTACAAAAATTATATGAAGTTTTGCGCATACTCTTATCGCACTTTTAAAAAGGACAGAGAATCAGTAATAGTGAATTAAGCAAACATACAGTTTGTGTTTTGTAAGTAAATTATATTCTTTCTTTAATGTTTGTTTCCATAACATTGTTGGTTAGAATTTAATGTACAGTGTGATTCAAAAGTTAATTAACAGTCATGTAACTCAGATTTGGAGAGGTATAGGAAAGTAATTGTTAGTGATACAGAGTGAGGTGTTTCAGTATAAAAGAGATCATTCAAGGTCATGTCCTTCTGAAGTACACCAAATGTGTTAATAGAAAATATGAAATGAAATGAAACTTGTAAACCAAAAATTCAGTTACAGACAAAATACAGGTAATCATCCAAACAGTATTACAAAATGATGGCAAACAAGTTTTCATCTTGAATTTTTAAATGCTAGTTAGCAGTTGCTTTATAATTTGAAGTTAATTTGTGATTAACATTTCTAAACTAGAGCAAGAAGATGAAGAGGAACAATCATTAGAGGAAGGCTTGAAAACATTGTCTGGTGAAGGGGATAGTGACAGTGTTACATCAATCTCAGTCGTTAGCATTGGGCCATCTTTTCACACTGGAGAAGGTGACAGTGGTGAAGACAATACTCAGAAGAGACAGTACTTTGATCTTGTCAAATGTTCAGAATTTAAGAAAAAAAGTACAGATTCTGAAAAAAATAGGTCAGAAAAATCAGAATCATTAAATCATGTTTCTAGTGAGGAAGAAACTGTTGTTAGATCACAAAGTGCTTCTTTTGTCAGTGTAAAGCAGGAACCAGAAGCTGTACTAAGCCATGAAGAACGTATGTCCTTTGTCAAATATGAAGAAAACAGAGAGAATATTTCATCTGGAATAACTACTTTAAAGCCTTTGTCTCTCAAACAGCCTGATGTTGCTCTTGAAAATTCCCACGTTGAAGAGAACAAGTGTGAACCTCCACAGGTTGCCAGTGACAAGGAAACGATTCAGGTTTCTTACCAGAAAGCCAAAGAACAACTTGCTGAAGGCATTGCCACAAAATTGATAACTACATTTATTGAGGATGCTGTTGATGTAGTATGTAGGATTGCATCCCATCAGCATAGGCAAACAGAGACAAAAAGCCAAAATGGAGTTGAAGCACACAGACAGGTTGGTGCTGAAGACACCATCCATGAAATGAAGCCCAAGAAAGAACAGGGAATAACTGGTGAAGTGCTTAAAAGAATATCACACATGTTGTCAAATGTTTTGCTTGAAGATGCCCTTCATACAGTCATACAGATTTACCGCAGACCCATAGTCATGGTCAGATGTTCACGTCCCAGAGAAGAGATTCAAGCAGTATCTGATCAGAATGTTGTCAGTAAGAAGGTAAGCTCCATTCTAGCCAGTCTGGATTGTCCAAAGTCCCCAAAAGAGAGGTATCGTCCTCAGGATTTGATGGTTTTGTCTGTTGTCCCAGATGATGTAGAAGAAGTTACTGACCACAGTTCAACAGCTTTAGAAGATATACAGTTGGGTCCAGTACTTAACACATTTCATGTAAGTTTTATTTTTTATTTGTGCAAGTGTTTAACATATAACACATAATATAAGGACAACAAGGGACCTTTTGATCTATCTATGCCATCCATCCACTAAACTTTAAACTAAAAATAAGACACTCAAAGCCGGCCCCTTATCATTCACATATTCATCAAACCTTTCTTTAAACTCTCTTAAATTAACTGCATCTATGACATATGAAGGCAATCCATTCCAAGAGGCAATAAAAGTTGTCTTAACTGAAGATTACTCCTACCTGTCAAAATTTACTCTTGTGTCCCTTAGTCCTACCATTCTCACCATTAACTACAATTATAAATTCCCTTAAACTTCAAAACCTCAGTCAGATCTTCTCTAACCCTTTTTTTTTTAAGAGAAAACAATTTCAGATATCTTAACTTGTCTTTGTATGACAACCTTTCCATCCCAGATATCATCCTAGTACTCTGAACCCTCTGCAACAAAATTATAATCTCTTTAGACTTGTATTCAATATAGATACAACCTAAAATCCTATTTGCCTTCCACTAGCAACAGTACATTGCTTGGATGGCTTAAGAGACTGATCAACCAGACCACTAAAATCCCTTTCTTTCATAACATTGTTAAAGTTATTCCCATCAAAATTGTAATTATAATTCAAATTATGAAGTTCCAATTGCATTACTTCATTTATTATAATTAAAAGCTATCTGCCATTTATTATCTCAACTCACCAAATAACCCAAATCCTTTTCCAAGCAGCAGCAGTCTCCTAACAACCAGCAACAATTAAAACCTTACTATCATCAGCAAATTTAAATACTTTGTTGACTATTCCTTCACTTGTCATTGATGCAAAAGTCCTAATACTGAGCCCTTAAGTACCCCACCTGTGACATCAATCCCGTTTGACTGAACTCCATTTATAACAACCCTGTGCTTTCTTCCATCTAGCTAGTTTTTTAGCCAATGAGCTAACCTATCCAACAGAGATCTTTTTTTAATAAACCTTTTATGTGGCATCTTGTCAAATGCTTTCTGAAAATGCAGATACACCAAATCCACACTATTACCCTCATCTACATAAGCAATAACCTTTTCAAGGAATGTCAAAATATTAATAAGGCAAGAATTTCTCCTGGTGAAACCATATTGAATATCCAACAAAATTTTAAACTTTGTTAAATGATTCTGCATTGAATCTCTTACCAGTCTTTCAAAATGTTTTCCCACAACTGATGTAACCTCCTTCAAAACCCTGAGGGGAATGTTAGGACTCACAAAAAATAGTAGCAAGTGGCTCACATATCCAATCCTTAACCTACTTCAAACCCATGGGTAAATATTATCTGACCCAGGAGCTTTATCATTCTTTAAACCTCCTTAGTTTTCTAAACAAGTTCAGAATTAATGTGATCATTTTTTTTTATCTTATTTCTATCTAGCAGCTATTCAGGTTGAGTAATATTGCCATAATGTTCATTAGTAAAAAGTGAAGAAAAAAAAATAGAATTTAATAACTAACTATCTCATAATCATCAGATATGAGCTTTCATGTATAATCCCTCAAAGGGCATACTTCCATCTTATCATTTTACTTAACCCTAATGTACTGTTAATTTTTACATTTACAACCAATCATTTTTCATATACCCTTTTCTATTTCCTAATTTCCTGTTTCACCAACTCTCTTGATCTTCTATAATTCTCTAAATCTCCTGCCACAGCAGTCAATTTAATATATAATGCCTTTCTTTAGTTTTATTCTCTATACCCTTTGTGAGTCGACCTTTTTTTTTTTTTTTACCTGCAGCCACCCTTGTTTGGTAAGGAACTGCCTATCTTGAATATTTTAATAATTCATTTAATAACTTTTTTCCATATTTATTCATTATCCCCAATTAATTCATTTTCCTAATTCACAACAGATAATTCTTGTCACATCTCTTCAAAATTTACTTTTGAAATTTGTAATCGAAATTTCATTATTCCTTATCTCCATATGCAGTAAAACATTAAATTTAATTGAATAATGATCACTTGCATCCAAATGTTCCCCAGTCACCACCCTATCAACCATTTCTGTATTAGAAGTTAACAATAAATCTGAAATAACGTTGCTTCTAGTATCTTCCCTAACCAATTGTTGAAGAAAACTATCTTGAACAGTTTTTAGGAAGCTGTTTCCTTCATGGTTTGGCTCTTAATGTTTTACAGTTTATGCCTGAAATGAAAATCCCTCATAATTATGACCTCATTATCAGATGAATCCTTTATTTCTCTGTGGAGTTTCTCATTAGTTTCATCTGTAACAGTTTTAAAATCAGGTAAAATACTTCTAAATTACTAAAAGCCTTTTACTTTCAAGTTACTCTGAATGTTCTTGTCACATATATCAACTTACCTAGAGTTCTCCACTCTTTCATGTGATTTATAGTGCCTCCTTCAGGAGAACATACGCAAGCTCTGCTTTCTCGTCATAAACCAGATTTTTGTGTTGAAAATCGTGCTCTTGACTTTGCTTGCTATGAATTCCTAATTCAACATTAAACAAATGCATCTACCAGTATTGGAAACTAATTAAAAGTATTTGAAGGCCTTACTCACATTATGCCTCTAGCATACTGGAAGATATTATGGCTTTATTATCAGTCCTTGTTGATCAATGTATTTGGGACATTAGTGTTAAAATGTCTGCTGGTGTATTTGGCAGGTTTCATTTTTATGTGGCTGCTCAACTTGCAGAATTCCCACCATTTTTTCACATGATGATGATGAACAGTTTTTTTAGGCCTATTTGCCTTCAGTTTCTGCATTGAAGGATTATTAACTAACCTTAATACAGAAATAGCTTCTTTTATGCCTGAGTGTAATTTTTGCTGAAGTATGTTCCATTTTAAATCTTAAACCTGTTATACTTCAATGTAATTTTTCTCCTGATTTTCACATCTTTGCTGATGCTTTTAGAAATCAGCAAAATATTACTAGTCTTCACTTTTGTTGTGTTTGCCATGCACGTGCCTGTTAGCAGGTTATAGGGAGTATTTTTAACCCACCACCAGTTTTCTGTCTACATGCTATGATTTGTTTTGAGACTTTCTTCTTCAGTGCTGTTATTAGTCTTTAGCTGCTCTTACAGATGTACCCTCTGTTACCTTGTGGCTAATGTTCCTTTACAACTAGCCAGCCATAATGTGTTGCAAGGTACTTGCCCCTCCCAAATTTTCAGCTAACTTCAAAAAGAGCTTCTGCAAGGACAAAATGAAGCACTAAAGAAGCTCTTTTTGAAGTTAGCTGCCCAAACCAGTTTTCCGTTTAACAGAAGCACATCAACATTGGAGTTTTAGCATCTTGACTTACTTTTATTCATTGTTCCTTTTCAAGATAACCAGAAAGTAATGTTTGTCCTCCTGTTCATCTGACATCCTGTTATTATTTTACATTTTTAACCATCATAGATAGTTTATCTGTTCAGTGTCCTTTCCTTTGGCTGCATACATTTTCATGGATTATTGATTTATTCTGACCCTTTCATCTACCCAGTCTTTTACACACACTCAGTTGGCTACATCTCCTGGGTGAATCATTTAAAACTCCAAATCATTTTTAGTTCCAACACAGTTTGAGATACACTTCAGTCATCTCCTCTCGTGTTGCAAGCCTTGGTGTCTCATCTACTTATCTTCTGTCTGACACACCTTCTGCCAAAAATATTCTTTGGAGATGATGGCTTCACATTATGAAATCATTTGTTTAGGGTGTGCTCACATGTGACATCTCCAATGGGACTTTGTTTCTCATTGACAGCTGACTTCAGTCCCTTTTTCATGAAGTATAACTGTTTCTTCTAAATCACAAGTTTACAACAGTAGATTGTCATTTTCTTACTCATCCTGAGTTTTGAGGAACTGGTATCATTCTTGTTCTTGGACTTTTCAGGAAACAACAGCTCACATCAACATGTTAAAACGTTGGGCTGTTCAAGTTTGCAGTCTTCTTACACCACCAATCTGTGTTGGTACACACAAACACTTCATCAAGAGTGGCTTGTATTACTACTCAGGGTGGCTCATTCTCACAGCATTTGCTTTGTTACACTTAAGGCGTATTAAGTATAATTCTTGTTTATCTGCAACTCCACAATGAATTGTTTCTTTATCATGACTTATCAGCTTTCTCATAACTGGTTTCAGGCTTGCCTTGTCTTCTACCTTCAGATACCACAAAAACCATAAATTTCATTTTACCCCATTGTTTTAAAATTTCTTCTGACCCTTTACTCTTCAGTGACCCCAAGTTCATAGACAATGTCCTAAACAGGAATTAGGTTTAATCTTACATCTTCTGACTTATTCTGTTTATGAACATATTGTTACTTGCAGAAAAAGTTCCAATATCTGTGCCTTCAATGATTCTTTTTTTTTATTTTCACAGAAGGCCTTATCATGAACCACGGTACTGATTCATAATAGGGATCACCCAGGAATTTCACAATAATTCTAATATAACATATGGATAAAAACCATCTTATAAAGCAAACTTGTTCTTGAAACACACTCAAGACCTATCTAAATGACTAAAGCTGCTAAAATATTGATAATGACAAAAAAAAAGTTTATTTTTCAATTAATAGACAAAATTCATCCACTTGTTCTTTACATTATTATTATTCTTGTTTCACTAGCGTACATAAAAAAATGGCTATGAATATTTCATTCAAACCTGGGCAAACATACTAACAAAAACTCCTGTGCAGGTTATAGGACTATTTTTGGGTTGATTCTTGAAAGAGTAGGGGAGATTTTGTCAGTTTTTTCCTCGCTACTGGCCAAGTTTCTCTTCAAAGCCATTCAAGCACCAAAACCTACAGTAAAAATGGCTAGGTATACTGTGCCAAAATCTATGCACAGCCACTAAACAAGCTTCTGCAAAGGTTGTAAGGCTATTTTTAAGTTTATTCTTGAAAGTAGAGATTTCACCCTCTAAAATTTTCTAAGTTCTTCTTCACCACCAACATGAGCACTTTGAAGCCCTTCAAGCATTGCAGAAATGTAGAAGCCATTTAAGCACCATTATAGTGATCACAAATACTCTATTTATACTAGTCAGAAATGCTTCATTTTATTAAACAGTGTGTATATTTATAACAGTGTCTCCAGCCTTATTATTATTGAATATACTTTTACGAGCTGATACAGAAAATATTGCTACGAATATTTTACTGAAATGTGGACAACAGTAATGAATACAGTATTAAGTATATCATATGGCAGTTTTAAAATTAATTCAAGTTCCTTAATTTTTTACCCTGAAGAATTTCTCTTAAGTCTTTCAATTTCCACCATTGAAAAAATCTGGTTTGTACTAATGCTCATTAATTGGAAAACAATCTGTGTAACATATAGCACATTGATTGAAAACTGCCATGGTCAATATTCTACATTTCTAGAGTGCTGTTCTTAATTGTTTCTTAAGTTTGCTGTTGTATTTTGTCTCTACACAATTTTCAGTGAGTTTTCTAATGGTTGATGATTACCATAATAGATTTCTCTACTCTTGTGAGTGGTGATTTATTCTACTGATTTGTGTACTTTGCTGAAATTGTGACTTTTTATTTTAGTATTATTTTATTATTATTACTATTCATATTTTTGTTTCACAAGCTTACAACAATACCGGCTGGGTATTTTGCACCAGAACCTAGACAGATATGCAGTATTAAATGCTGCAAATTTCCATTATCTATTTAAGAAGTTGATTATATTTCATTGAAAGTTGATTTTACTTTACATGGCTATAAATACATAACACATTATCTTTTCCTTATACCTAGTTAAAGCTTTCCTACCTAGAACTGTGGTTGTGAGAGAAGGTAACCACTGTTTCTCACCTATTATGCTGCCTGATTTTGTACAGGAAAACACATTTTAAGTCAGCCAAAACTATTGCTTAGTATTTCACACATACTGAATTTATCAGGGGGTCCCAAGAACAGTTGTTTATGACAAATCATACTCCTTAGATCTTGCACTAACTACATTAACAAATTGACCTATCTTGTTTACCATGATGTTTCTAAGCACCATAGAAATGAATTTTGAGTTATGTCCTACCAAATTACTAAATATTAAAATATTATCTATGTATGATTGAGGACGAATTGATTGGGCAATGTAAGGACTTCAGTGTGAATCCATTACAAGTTTACTTTCTGACATCATACACACTTCCTACCTCCACATAATATGTTATTGCTATATTTTGTGACTCCATTTACTTCTTAAACATTAAATATATATGGAAATAATTAAGTGTTTTTATTGAATAAATTGGTTTCTCTGATTTTAGGATCAACAGACTGAACTGTTTGATGATCAAGAGTGGTTTGAAGATGACCTAGGATTGTCCAGTAAGGGTAGACAAGATGACCAATTACTCTTGCAACAGCAGCTGTTACTTGAGCAGTATCAACAGTATTTCTACAGGCAAATTCCTAACAAACCACCACCACCATACACCCCACCCCAGTCTACTACCCCTAGGTCAAAAGTTGACCTTCAGAAGGCTGCTCAGCCCAAGGCATTCTCTTTTGTCCCTCAGAGTTATGAAGAATTAAAAGAGATAACAGATAAGACAGCAGTTGATGTTTTTGATAAACTAGTCTTGGGTCACAATCTTTGGGACATTCATTGTAATGATCAGTTTTTTCAAGAAGAAAGTAATAACAGAGAGGTCACAATACTGAGTCAACAGAGCTTCAGAACTTTTATTTTCAACTTGATTAAAGAAATAACAGCAGATTTGTACCAGTAAGTAATAAATTTGTATATTGCTGATGATTTTAAAGCTCTGGGTATTTCATTATTTTGTACACCTTATTTAAATCTAGCTAGAGAACTATTAGTGATTGTAAAGCTTGGGTGTTACTGGATGTGTAGTTTGTTTAAATATAATTGGAGAAATACTAGTGATTATAAAGCCTGTATGTTACTGGATGTGTACTTTGTTTAAATCTAGTTAAGAGTAATACTAATGATTATAAAGCTTTTGTGTTACTCGATGTGTACTTTGTTTAAATATAGTTAAGAGTAATACTAGTGATTATAAAGCGTGGGTGTTACTCGATGTGTACTTTGTTCAAATCTAGTTAGTGTAATACTAGTGATTGTAAAGCTTCTGTGTTACTCGATGTGTACTTTGTTCAAATCTAGTTAGTGTAATACTAGTGATTATAAAGCTTGTGTGTTACTGGATGTGTATTTTGTTTAAATCTAGTTAAGAGTAATACTAGTGATTATAAAGCTTGTGTGTTACTGGATGTGTACTTTGTTTATATATAATTGGAGAAATACTAGTGATTATAAAGTGTGTGTGTTACTGGATGTGTACTTTGTTTAAATCTAGTTAAGAGTAATACTAGTGATTATAAAGCTTGTGTGTTACTGGATGTGTACTTTGTTCAAATCTAGTTAGTGTAATATTAGTGATTATAAAGTGTGGGTGTTACTCGATGTGTACTTTGTTTAAATCTAGTTAGTGTAATACTTGTGATTATAAAGCTTGTGTGTTACTGGATGTGTACTTTGTTTAAATATAATTGGAGAAATACTAGTGATTATAAAGTGTGTTTGTTACTGGATGTGTACTTTGTTCAAATCTAGTTAGTGTAATACTAGTGATTATAAAGCTTGTGTGTTACTGGATGTGTACTTTGTTCAAATCTAGTTAATGTAATACTGGTAATTGTAAAGCGTGGGTGTTAATGTGTACTTTGTTTAAATCTAGTTACAGATATATTAGTCATTTTAAGTAACAGTCACATAAAAGTTCACCATCACAACTACAGTAATAGCCATGTAAAATCTACCATCACAACTATAGTAATAGCCACGTAAAATCCACCATCACAATTACAGTAACAGCCATGTAACATCCACCATCACAATTACAGTAATAGCCATGTAAAATCCACCATCACAATTACAGTAATAGCCATGTAAAATCCACTATCACAACTATAGTAACAGAAATGTAAAATCTGCCCTGACAACCACAGTAACAGAAATGTAAAATCTGCCCTCACAACTACAGTAACAGTCATGTAAATGCCACCATCACAACCACATTAATAGACACATAAAATTCACTGTAACAGTACAGTTTTAAATCTCACTTTGTAAAGATATAATCTAGAAAGTGAGACTTAGAGCATTGATTAATGTCTTTTGCAAAAGTTATTACCAAATCTTTAGTTCGCTTTTTGGATACATTGCCTGTGTGTTCTCTGATTTTCAAAAAAGAAAATATTATATTACTATTGTAAATGTAGTGTTTACTTTGAAGCATTTGCCTTCTGTGTAGTTTTTAAAAATACACTACTGTGTACTTAAGTATGTAAAGTAAGAAGTTTCTTTCATAGAAATGTCTTCAACTCTTTTGGGTATATATTATCATATCCCTAAAGTTAACATGGTTGTGTTGTTATTGTGTTTTTAGTATTGGATGTCAAGAAGTTCTACCTTTGTGGGTTCGGAGGCAACAATTAACACCTAAACCTCCTTTACCATCCTGTGCCAGCCAATTCACCACAACTGTTGAAAACTGTGTAGCTCAAAAACTAGGATTTAAACCTTGCAATAAATCCAATATTTCTTCTCGTTGTGGCTTCAAAAAACTGGTACGTAAAAAAAGAGACTTTGTTGACACCATCTTAATACAGGAGCTGAAGGAGGAGGAGCAAGAGTGGGTCTGTTATGATGAAGATGAAGTCACAGTCAAAATACAGATATCTAGTGCCATATTCAACTTTTTACTTGATGATGCCATCCATCTAGCTAAGAGGCTGTTTGAAAGAACCACTCATCTTCTAGAGAAATAGCCATTTAAAGTTGTTGATTGTAAATAAGACTTCATTTCAAAAGTTATTTAAACTGTAAATAAGAGATTGTCACCTACTTGTATCAGCTTCAAAAGCATTGTCACTTTGTTTAACACAGAAACCAGAAGTTGTTGGAAAATGTGATGTAGAGTTTGATTGTTAACTATTAATTTTTTCTTTACAAATAGAGAAATGTATACATCATAACAGAAGCATCAATTAATGTCTTCTGCAAAAGTCAGTACTGGACCTTCAGTCCATGTTTTGGATGAATTTCCTGTGTGTTCTCTGATTGTTGGAATAAAGTATCTGGTAAATAATTACATTTTGTGTATAACTGTTGTCAACAAGGATTCATCTGGTAAAATATTAATATTCAAGCAGAGAGATTTACAAATCTGAGCAAGTATTGTTCAACAGAAACTACCACTTGCTCTCTTGCATGATGCTGTAGATTATGTAAAGAACAGAAAATTACACCAGCTTAATGACAAGCCATGAAAGATGATGTTTACAGCTTTCCTATCTGATTGGTACTTTTGTAGAAAACATCCAGTTGCTTTAGAGAAGAAATAAATTGCTCAATAATTGGAAATTGTATGAAAAGCCAGTAAAAATTAAGGTTTCAGATTTTATATTTCCTTGTGTAATGTATGTTTTTGTAAATAAAAAAAAATATATCACTTACTGTAGGAATCTAAAACTGCTCAAAACATTTGAAATATGACTATTATATAAAGTGATAGAGAAGAAAGTTTGCATATTCTTTCATCTGCATTTTGTGTAATTTATAATATAGCCAGTAAGACTTAAATATTGTAATGTAGTATAAAACAAAGCAGAACTGCAAACATATAGTTTCATGGTATGAATGTGCATTGGTTCACATTGAGATTTTAGCAGTGATAAATTTCTCCTTTGAAGTTCCTACTAAAATCTTTATTGGAATGTTAATCATCTTCTGCAGAAAGACTATTCCTACTGGTCTCCATATGCAGGACCAGATTGAAATTGTAGAACTTAATGAACTGAAGTGATGGACATTACTGAAACTTTTCAGTCAGTTTAGTTATAGCTTAAACAAATAATGATTATTCAGGCAAATTTTTTCCATCCATCCTGATACACTATCAAGATAGCTGTAACGTGAAATTAACCTTTCTTTGTTATTTCATAATGGATACTCAGGTGTGAGGATATTCAAACCATGACATATTTCACCTTCTCTTATGTTGTAAGATAAGCAGCTTATTAGTATGTGCATTTAAGTTATTTCTGTATATTTTGTGTAACAGTTACCTTGATATTAATAAAATTTCATAGTGCAAACTCATTCTCACATACAGGTGGTGTATTTTCCTCACTTCTATTTTCACATATATTTAGGTTCATAATGCTTACAAGATAACTATGCTCTTTATCTTTGGAAGAGAAATAAAGCATTTCTAATGAAATATTAAATTTTGTTGCTGAATTGGTTTCCATGCTTATCAATTTAAAAAATATATTAGTAATCTGTCAAACGATGAAGCAGTAGACTTAAGTAATTTAAAAAGTTTAGATAATTTAGTGCTATCAAATCTGGACAAAAGAAATAGAGTTGTCATTCTCAATAAACAAGACTATCTTGATAAAGTCTATGATATCTTAAATAACTCCAGCAAGTTTAAAATGTTGGACAAAAACCCCACTCAACAGAGAGAGAATAAACTTCAAAGACTACTATTAAAATTAAAGAAAGAGAATGTCATTTCTGAAGTATATAACCAGATTAGACCTGATGGATCACATAATGTTATTCTTTATGGTCTGCCTAAGCTACATAAAACAGATGTACTGATCAGACCTATTGTATCTAACATAGAAATGCACAGTTATAAATTAATTAGCTTTTCAAGTAAGTTGTTACTTCGTTTTACCAAGAATTACTTTACTGTCAAAGACTCCTTTGATTTCTCCAATTTTGTCAAATCCCTGAAGTTTGATCAATCTGTATATATCACCAGTTATGAAGTTGAGTCCCTATACACTAACATTCCGCTCGATGAAGTGAAAAAATTAAGCAGTGATTTATTATTTCATGATGTCACTAAAGTTAATGTCTTAACTAAAAATCATGACCAAAGAATCTCACTTTGTGTTTAATAATAAGACATGATCAAGTTGACGGTGTAGCCATGCTCTCATATTAGCTAATTTGTTTTTCTCTTATCACAAACTAATTGGTTACGGTAATGTCTGTCCAAATTGAAGCCTTTAGTTTATAAGAGATGCATTGATGACACTTTTATTGTATTCAGAGCCATGTCAAAAAGTTTCAAGATTATTTAAATTCTAAACACAGTAAGATTAAGTTTACAGTTGAAGAACAAAAATAATCTAAATTGCCTTTCTTAGATCTAGAGGTAACAATCTCAAAACCAAATATCACCACAAACAAACATTTTCTGGCCTGTACTGTCATTTCAGCACATTCATACCCGATTGTTACAAAAATTAATTTAATAAGTATTTTAATTCATTGAGCATACTAACATACTAGCTCTTATTGTAGTTTCATGATGAAGTTATCAATATTAAAAAATGCCTTCCCTGTAGCATTCATCAACAAATTTACTTTTGAACATATCAATGAAGTTTAGAACCACAATATTCCAGACTTAAAGGTTCCCAAATGTCCAATCACCTTGGTATTACCCTTCACTGGTTCTCATGGCATTAAACTAATAAGAAAAATCGAAAACATTCTGCAATCAACATATCCCTAAGTCAGCCTAAGAGTGATCTTCAAAACGCAACATTTTCCTCTTTAAAGACAAAATACCTCCTTCCAAAAAATTGCTGGTGGTATACAAGTGACCATACTCTTGGCATGATTATATTCGGTCAACGACCCGAATTCTAGCTACCAGAATTAAGGAGCATGCACGAAACAGCCCTTCCATGAAGTCTGGAATATACAATAATCTAAGCAAAGACTGTAACGAGAAATGTAACATTGAGCAGTTCAAAATAATAGACTCGGCAAAAGACGAATGGACACTAAGGAAAAAGGAAGCGCTCCTAATTCGTAACTTAAAACCAAAGCTGAATAACCAACTAGCAACGCCATTACATCTCAAACTGTGATAAACTTATCATACCTGAGATAGGCAAAATTAAGAGTGAAAGCTTCATTGAACAAACGAATGTCAACATCAACCTGATGATGACAAAACCTTGTCGAAACGTTGTACATTTGCTGTTATGTTAAACTTATATTAAAGTTTTTCTTCATTACCCACTCAAGCCGTCTCCAGCCATTATTAGTCTCAAAGTGGGTTCCTCGTCATCGAATCTATATCATTTGGTACAAGTACCATAGAATTATGCAAAGGCCGAATGTGCCGGTTTGGATTTGCAAGAATTGTTGGAAGAAGAAACAATGGTCTCTAGTAGTTGTTGTTTGTGTGTCTTGGAGAATTCTACGAGTGAAACGACACATCTGGTAATCTTCAAGGATGCATTGCTAAATAATTTTTATTCTCAGCGCACCAGTCTATATACCCCAACAATTTCGCGCCATTTTTGAATATGTAAGTATCATGTGACTACTTTCCACCAATAGTATTGCGCCACTATATTAGTACAACTAGCTCCCTCTGCTATTCCTGCTCAATCCTCACTTTCTCGATTGACACAGCTTCATTTAGGCGTGTGTCTTTTCGCATGTTGCTACAGTTTATGATTGTGTTTATTTGCGATTCAATATCTTTTCAACAGTTTTCTCTTACTGTGTTTGCATTCAATCGTTTCAACGTTTTTGTTGTTTGTTTCTTGTTACCGAATTATACGAGAATTTCGTATGAATTCGCGATTCAATGTATTGACTACAGTAGTTCCCGTTACAGTCGACAAGCTACTGATAAGACTTCCTAGGAATCGGGTTCAACTTTATCTGCAGAGGAGATACAGATCTTAATTCGCAGGTACTATATTCATATGTTCGGCCAATGATTTCTTCTCCTTTTCAACCTGACAATGCTGCTGACAAGAAGAAACATACTGTTGGTGTGAACATGCTCTGTAGTCACTATGAGAAAAAACCTATACACTGAATAGTTGAAGTAAAGAAAATGTGTCATTGGCACTATTCAGTTCTTCACATTATATAGCCGCACAATAACAGATATCATAAATAAACTTAGTATTCCGAAAATTGTTTAATTTCGTAGTCGAAGTTCAAGGGAGGTCCAGTTCAATTTACAATTTGATCAATGTGTGAATTCCACTCGTTGCACCTACTACACGTTCACACCAACAGTATGTTTGATACTTTTCACTATGATATAGGGCCAGCTTATCTTTCTTTGATTAACTTGTGTTCACGGTTACTTATGAGGAGTGGAATTCTCTGAAACTAGTATAACCCAATAACACGTTGATCAAAGTGTAGATTCAGCTGGATCTCCATTGAACTTAGACTTCGAAATTAAACAATCTTCGGAATACTAAGTTTATTTATTATATCTGCTATTGTGAGGAAGAATGCAGTCAGGGAGAAGACAGTTTAAACTCTCTTCTTTTGGTCTGTCACACTATATACCTCTTCAGGAGATTTCACCTTCTACGTCCTTTTTTTTTTTAAAGCTTGGTACTCTGGTTGATGCATGTTAATATTTTCTGTATGTTCTAGACGAGAGTGATTTTGCTAGTTTTCTTTTTCCTGCTCCTGTTGCCAGACCTTCACGTCATTCACTTTGATGGAGGTTTGTACTTCTCTTCCTTTTATTCTATTGCTTCCAGATCTCCCAGTGGTAAGTTTTCGACTTGTACACTTTGCACCTGTTTGTGATGCCCATGGTAGGAGCAGCTCAGATGCCCTTTGTGTGGTTTTTCCTTCTTGACACATGGGAAAATTAAGGATTTCAGGTCATCAGTGCGCGAACTTTAGTAAGTTAGGTACTTATGTGTCCTTTGTAGTCTAAATTAATTTAAATTTATTGTAAGTTAGATATTATTACTTCGTTTTCTAGGTAATTTTAGTCGGTTTACACATTCATTATTATTATTATTATTACGTACTTTGTAGACTAGGGAAATTTGATGTTTTATCAGTTCGATATTAATGAGTACTTTTCCGATGACTAGGAACCCACTTTGAGACTAATAATGGTACCTGATGATGACAAAACCTTGTCGATACGTTTTACATTTGCTGTTATGTTAAATTTATATTAAAGTTTTTCTTCATTACCCATTCAAGCCATCTTGAAGCATCATCAATAGAATGAATAATATAGAGGATAAATGCAGTTTTGAATCCTTGTTTCATCCAGTCATACTGTTTTTGATGTCTGTGTATCTTAACAATGGCCAAGCAGCATAGTTTCAATTGCAAAAGCTTAGTTGTAAGGATGTCATAAGCTCAACACTCCTTCCTGTAGCTTTACATAATCCATCTAGTGTACAAGGACAATGGTTTCCCAACACCCATTTCAATAGAAATCTGAATGTTCTGGTTTCTTTTATATTAAAGCTGGTGTTAAATTCTTACATATTTTCAGAAAAACTTTGATCATTTAAAATTAATGATAAAACAAAACTTTTTAATACGATACTTAACACATACTTTTAGTTTGTGTAAAAATCATTTTTAGGTATAATAATGGTCTGCAATTTTTCAACCCAGAAAGATACATTTGTTTACTGTAAATCTATTACATGTTGGCAAAAGATTATCTGACGAAAATACCATAGTATTAAAGCATGGCCTGGTGGTTAGGGTACTTAACTCACACCCTTATGGAAACAGGTCTAAATTCCATCACCAACCCTGCTTGACCCTTCAGCCATGGGGTTGTTATAATGTGACAGTCGATCCCACTATTTTATTAGAGTATCCCAAGCGTGGACAGTGGTGGTGTTGACTAGCAGCCTTCACTGTAGTCCATCTCTTCTGAATAAGGGACAGCTAGTGCTTATAGCCCTCAAGTAACTTTATATGAAATTTAACATACAAACGGTTACAGTGTACTAAATATCACTCACTTAAGTCCTACAGTTCTGATGTAAACACTAACTAGATACAACTGTATTAGGAGACATTACGACTTTTAAACTGTGGGGAAGAATGATTATACTGTGTATTGCAAAGTTGTATTGAAAAAGAATGAACAAGTTTTATTTAAGAAAGGACTTGTATCACTGAAGTTCCTCGAAAAGAATTTAAACCGGAAATTAACAGATGACCAAATACACAACAAATTGGTGTCAGAAATGGGATAGAAAAGAGATTGAAACGAGAAGTGGCAAATCAAACTACAGCTTAGCAGATCTGATGGCAGCAATACAAGAACAGCAA